AGCGATATGGAGAATGTCCCTTCTCATTTTCTTTGCATAGGATAGGGATTATTCAATGTGTTGGTTAGTTTTTTCTATGGGTTTTCTCTTTTAAAAAAGTCTTTATACAGGACAGCTGTTTGGGATGTGGAATTATAAAGACACACTGGTAATGGAGATGATATAAAGACAAAAGACAAATGAAAATTTGGTTTTTTTCCTTGGGGAGAGAGAAGGGATTTAAAGACCCAATTTTCTGTTCCTAGCAAAGACCAAAGAAATAGCAGTACCAACTCAAATTACTTAGCCCTTTTAAACAAAAGATGACAAAACCCAGCTTAGAGACATTAAAAACCACAAGTTGTAAAAACCAAAAATGCATTTAAGAATACAACTTTCATACTGTTAGATGGGAAGATTTCTTATGCTTTTAAATACTTTTTTTGCGGGGGGAAGGGAGGGAGCTACTGATCTTGTTATTTTATGAGTATTGGGAACTCCTCTCTAGTGAACAAACTTTCCCTACTAAAGCACAGAAGTAATTGTTATGAAACTTACAGACTTGGTTACCTGGGGCACTGAGGGGTTGTCAATTAATCAATAAACATTTATTAAGCACCTACTATGTTCCAGGCAATTTGCTAAGTAATGAAGACATAAAAAAAGAGGCAAAAGACAATCCCTGCCCCCATAAAGCTTACCATCTAATGAGGGAGACAACATACAAATATATACAAAGCAAGCTATACACAGGCTAAATGGAAATAATACAAAAAGGAGAGGCACTAGAATTAAGAGGGGTTGGGAAAGACTTCCTACAGACTATGGAATTTTAGTTTGGACTCAAAGAAAGTAGGGAAGTTAAGTAGGCAGAGATGAGGAGGAAGAGAATTTCAGGCAGGGAGGACACCTAGGGAAAATGCCCAGAACCAAGAAATGTATTGTCTTATTGGTGGAATAGCCAGGAAGCCAGTGCCATTAGATCAAAGAGTACATAGCAGGGAATAAGGCATAAAAAGATTGGAAAGGTACAAGTGGGGTAGGTTATGAAAGGCTTTGAATGTGAAACAGAGCATTTAGTATTTGATGGGAGCTACTGGAGTTTACTGAGTGGAGGTGTGGGGTGACCTGACTGGACATTAGTGTTCCTCTCCACTCTTGTACTGAGACCCGATTTGGGTATAGGCAATGGAGCTGCCAAACAGCATCTGGTCCTGTGACTAGTGCTAGTACAGGAGTCCCCTGTAATTTCTTTCTCACCAGTTTTGCCAGGTCCACTTATCATCTCTGGCTTGAGAGGACCTGTGTTTTAGGGAAGGGGGACATATTTGAGACTTGTTTCAAAGGTGAGACTGACAGGCCTTGGGAAGAGCTTAAATATGGGGAGATGTTTAGTGATAGTGAGGAATCAGGTTGTGAGCCTGAGGGACTAGAAGTTCTCCTTCATGGTAGTAGGGAAAGTCGAGGATTTGTGTGTGGAGAGGGTTTAAGGGGCAAACTAATGAGTTCTGTTCTAGACATACTGAGTCTAAGCTGTCTACTGGATATCCAATTCAAAATGTCTGAAAGACAGTTCGTGATGTGAGATAGGTCAGCAGAGAGACTGGGGCAGGATAGGTAAATTTGGAAATCATCAGCATAGAGAAAGGTAATTAAATCCATGGCAGCTGATGAGATAACCAAGTGAAAAGGCATAGAGGGAGAAGAGAAAAGGTGCCCAGGACAGAATACTGAGGGACACCTCAGTTAGAGGGTGTGATGTGGAGGAGGATTCAGGAGGATTCAGCAAAGGAGACAGAGAAGGAACAGTTAGAGATAGGACAAAAACCAAGAGAGGGGTGCCCTGAAAACCTAGAAAGGAGAAAATATCAAGGAGTAGTTAGTGATCAATAGTGTCAAAGGCTGTACAAGAGGACAAGGAGAATAAGGATTGACAAAAGTTCATTTGATTTAGCACCTAAGAGATCATTTGTAACTTAGGAGAAAGCAGTTTCAGTGGAATGATAAGGGCCAAATTTTAAGGAGTTAAGAGAGTGAGAGGGGAGAAAATGGGGGCACCTGTTGTAGATGGATTTTTTGAGGAGTTTAGCTACAAAGTGCAGAAGACACATCAGGCAATAGTTAGCAAGGATGGAAGGATCAAGTAAGGTTTTTTCAGAATAGAGAGACATGAACAAGTTTGTAGGCTGTAGGGAATGAGCTAGTAGATAGAGATTAAAAATAAGCAAGAGAGTGGGGATGACAGTGGAGACAAGATGGAATAGGATCACTTGAACAAGTTAGATGGTTAGCCCTGGTAAGAAGGCCACTTCATCAGGTGAGAAAAGGGAGAAAGAGGAGAGAACAGCAGAAGGCATTTGAGTGATAGAAGGTGAGGAAGACAAGAGAAGAGGAGCTGATGGTAAATGGCCTCAATTATTTTCCTGTAAAATATGAGGCAACATTCTCAGTTGAGGGAGGGGAAGTTATGGGAGCTTTGAGGAAAGATGAGAAGATTTGGAAGAGCTGGTGTGGGGAGTTAGAGAGTAAGATGATAAATCTTCCTAAAGGCCAACTCTCTATCGAATACACTGTGCCTCTCTAAATATGATGATGTCAATGGCTGTATTCTGCTCCAATTATTTAAAATGATTTGTCAACAAATACAATTCATAAATTCAATTACCTTGAGTTAGTTAAGTTGGTTCCTAAAACCAAAAATTATTTGGAGATTTATACACTAAATGATCACCAACTTTAACAAATATAGCAACAGTTCATTTATCTGACACGGTTGGCGAAGATAATATTTGATAGAAGTTTTCCAAATAAATGAAACTCCCACATGAACATAAAACTTTTTATTTCAAGTCTTATTTTTATCAATACTTTTTGTTTTTACATCATCTTTTCTTCCTACTCTATCACTCCCCAACCTCTATTTAGTAAGCCCATTCAAAGTAACAAAGAAAACTGACATATCAACCATTTCTATAAACATATGCAATATTCCACACCCATAGACCTCTGCAACTATTCTTTGTGGCCAAGTTAAGTCAATATAATTATACAGCATTCAGTTTCCTTCTTTTTCCGCTTCCTTCCATTTACATAGTTGTAGATATCCCTTATCTAGGCTGTCTAGCTCACTTTCCATCAGTTCAAGTAAGCTATCCTATTTTTCTCTGAAATCTTCATATGTACCATTTCTTATAATACAGGAATATTCCATTACATTAACATGCCACAATTTATTTAGCCAGCCCCCAAATGATAGGAATCTACTTTCAGGTTTTTTTGTTATCACAAAAAGTGTTGCTTTATGAATATTTTGGTGTATTATGGAATCGTTCTGGCTTTGACCTCCTTAGGGTAGATGCCTAGTAGTGGAATCTATGGGTTAAAGGGTATGAATATTTCCATAGTTTTTCACAGCATAATTCAAGCTGCTTTCCAGAATGGCTAGATGTATAGCTTCACCAAGAACGTATTAGCGTATCTGTCTTTCTCCAGTCCCTACAACCCTCACATTACTGTCTTTTATCATCTTTGCCAATGTGCTGACCTTTCCATCTTAAAAAAGTATATGGAAATATAATTTAACCTCTTCTCGATGACCTTGGGATTATGAACATCTATTACTATACTCTGCTATGCTGAATTAACTATCACCTTTCTTTAACATAGTAGTCTCTTGCTCAGGAGGGTTTAGAAATGGAAACAGGAGCTTCCCATAGCATTGGCCTATCAGCGATAGCAAGGTTAGTCATTCACACCTGGCTTAAAAGATCAAAGAAGGTAAGACTAGACAAACTGCTGAAAACTCAAACCTTTCCTCTAATCTACTTTTTAGTGAATTATGTAACTCTGACCATTTTGTCTACTATAGAAAAGTTCTGCATTTATGCAAACTTGCCTAAATCTGTTCTCATATTTTCATGAACCATTATTTCAACATGAGTGTACATCATTCCCGAAGATTTTAATGAAATAACAATTAGCTACTGGTCACTTTTTTTTTTTTTTTGCTAGAGACACAGGCAAGGAGAAGATGGCGACAGAAAGATATTATCATCTATGACATTTACTGTTCTTTTGGCATCTTTCCCTCTGAGTTCTTAAAAACCAGTGTCTAAGTGACTTTAAAATTATTTTCATCTCTACCAAAGAGAGAACTATAGCCTCTCATCTTTTAGGAGAAAGGTTTACCAAGCATAGTATACGTGTGTGGATGCAGTGGGTAAGGCTGTAAGAGGGAAGAAGGGGAATGAGACTCTATATAATGTTTCCTACAAGGCAGGCACTAGGCTAGGCTCTTCACAAATATTATCTCATTTGATTACCCCAACATGGATTCCAAAGTGGTTAAAAGAGCTGATGAAAGAGCTGTAGCTACAGCATCTATGGTGAAAATTGCACAAGGGATTAGGTGACCCTGAAAATGTCCAGAGCTGGCAACATGCTAGAATAGAGAGCAATACCCAGTGGAGAATGAGCAGACAGCAATGCTCAGTGGGGAGCAGGTCAGACAAAGAGAAGTAAGATGACATTAGGAAAAGACATTGGCAGCTCTGCAGGCTCAAATGTGTAGGCTGGTCCTTCATACGCATCTCTTCATATATTTCTCATGTGTGGATATCCCTCATGATCAAGGTCCACTCTTCCAAATACGTATATTGTGATTGTGAGAGAGTAAGCTCAAGGCTTATTGGGGAGGAGCTATAATTAGGGAGAAGATATTCTGTGGTGATTTTACTTACATTGCCATTTAATTAAAATAATTTTGTTTTGATCAAAGTGTGTCATCCTATTGACTGATTAAAAAGTAAAGTATATCAGTAGGAGATAATGAGCTATGGTTTGGAGAGGATTCTGTTCCATAAAACAACTGGAATCTGGGGTAACTAACTGGGGGCCCAGAATGTGGGAGGCCCCATGAGATACACAATAAAATAAAATTGTTTCACTGATAATCTTTGTGAAGTCCAAAAAAAAAAATACTTTCCATATCTTTTTGAACAAAGGAGAATTTAAAACCTTACCTCAAAGGAACATTCAACATTACGTTCATTTTTCTTATGCGATAATCCCTTCAGTTCTATCTTTTCAACACTCACTGCAAAAGAAAAAAAAATCCTGAAATTAAACTGATGCACAATAATAATTTTATTAACTACCTTGCCTTCAGCAATTTTCAAAAGAAGATGCAAAGTGATCAATAAATTACTTTTTGTTGTTCACTCATTTTCAGTTGTGTCCAACTCTTTGTGACCCCATTTAGGTTTTTTGTTTTGTTTGTTTTTTTAGCAAAGATACTGGAGTGGTTTACCATTTCCTTCTCCAGCTCATTTTATAGATGAAGAAATTGAGGCAAACAGGGTTAAGTGACTTGCCCAGGGTCACAAAACTAGTAAACATCTGATTCCAGATTTGAACTAATGAAGACGAGTCTTTCTGACTCTAGGTTCAATGCTCTATCCATTGTGACACCTACCCAATAAGTTACTTAGGGACACCTATCCTACAACTTTTGAAAAACGTTTTAGAATTAAGGACCATAAGTGGACAGAAGTAGGTAGGTAAAATACCAAGTATCAGAAAATATACAGGAGAAGCAATGATAGAATGAATTGTGAAGAGACTAAAAAAAAAGAAAGCAACAACTTTGAATCAATAAAAAATTTAAGTATGAATTTTAAAATCATCGATTCAGTAATGTATAACTTATGTATATCCAGGCTAGTTTTCAATAGACCAAAAATGTGGCAGTGATGATACCTTTATTGGAAGCAGCAGTAACAAGGACAAGATTCTACTTGTGAAAAGCCAAGCAGGGATTTGTTAAATATGGTATTTTATAACACAAGGAAGCAAAAAGCTGTAATTTTTTTTTCTTTCTTTTTTTTGGGGGGGGAGGCAGTTGGGGTTAAGTGACTTGCCCAGGGTTACACAGCTAGTAAGTGTCAAGTGTTTGGTCTAAGGCCACATCTGAACTCAGATCCTCCTGACTTCAGGGCCGTGCTCTATCCACTGTGCCACCTAGCTGCCCCAAAAAGCTATAATTTTTAAAAGATAATTTTTCAACAAGCACATACAAACAGAAACAACCTACTCCTACCACCTCTCCTAAGCACATGAATAACATAAACATTGCAGAACTACGTACAGAAGACATTTGTTCCTCGAGGGCCTTACCTGCTACTTCTCTAGTTCTGTACACAATGTAATTTACAAAATAGTTCTCCCTAGCACGCACTGTATGGTGCAGCTAAACTGACCTTCTTAGCTTTGAACTTTTGCACTGGCTATCCCTCCCCCTACCCCCCCATGTATACCCCTCTTCTTACATCAACCTCACAGAATCTTTTATTTCCTTTAAGACTCAGCTCAAGAGCTCCCTTCTAAATGAAGCCTTCCCTGCTAATGCTCTCCCCTCCCTAAACTATCCTGTAGTAATTTGAATTTATTGAATACATACTTACATCTGCATGTTTTCTCCATTAGGGAAACCCCTGAGGAGCAAAGACTATGCCATTTTTGTCTTGGTATCCCCAGGAACTAAGCAGTCATCCAGTCAACAAACATTTGTTAAGTGCTGACTATGTGCTATATGCCAGGCACTGTTTAATGGTAAAAACATGGTCCCTCCTCTCATGGAACTCTTATTCTAGTAGGGGAGATATCATGTAAACAGAAGATACATATAATGTAAACAGGAAGCAGGAGAACTTCTCATTCTGGGCATGAAATGAAAAGGCAATATTTCAGAAGAAAAAAGTATCTTGTGTGAAGAACAGCAAGAAGGTCAGTGTTGCTGAAATTCAGAATATGCACAGTGCTTGGCACATACTAGAAGTTTTACTATAAATGTGTGGAAACTTAGGTAATTTTTTTTACACATATGACATTGTGGAAACCTAGCTAAAACATAAATTTTATCATTAACATCACAGACTGGTGTTAAATCTAGATATCTCCTAACCAAACCAATGCTTTAACTCATCAGCCAGTAAAAGAAAAGGTCATTTAAAACCTAAATAGATATGGCCAAATGTAGAGAATTTTTTTGTTTTAAGTCTTCTGACAATAAACTAGAAGCAAATAATGATGAATGTATAAATGAACAACTTCACAAAGCTAGTAAGTATCAGACGCCATCTTTGAAGTCAGTTGTCCATGGCTCCAAGTCCAGCAATCTATCAACTGCACCACCTGGCTGCCTCCAGACTACTGACTTGTTAAGTGAAAAACAAAGTCAATACCAAATTAGAATAAAACTAAGACACTGCAAATAATTTTGGTAACTGCTTGATTCCTGCCCCACCTCCTCCTCAAAATAAATTCTGATACCTTTTGTATTTATACAGCAGTCATTCCTGGGGGAAAAGAAAGAAACCCAAATTATCATGCTCATCCCTCTGGACTGAACCATGCTCCATGTAATGTAACCCGCCCCCCCCCAAAAAAGCAGAAACATTCAATACAGTGACCACATGTGACAATACATATAACATTCTGTTCCAGTAGTCCCTACCTTTCTGGCATTACACATGCTTCACTTTTTTTCTAGGACCTTCACTGTTTTTCAGTTACTTAGCAAAGCACTACTAATTTCTGATGATCTTTTTTATTTACATATCACATATTGTTCTTTTGGTTCTATTTATTTCAGTCTTTCTCATTTTTTACTGCACAATGATAGTCTATTACATTCAGATACCACAGGTCTTTCAGTCAGATTCCATCCCAGCTGATAGACACCTGCTTTGTTTCCAGTTCTTTACAAAGAATCCTGCCATGGATATTTTGGTAGATATTGGATCTCTGTCTGGGGTATAGGAATAGTAGTGGGACCACTGGCTCACATGAATGAATGGCTTAGGCACTTGCTTCATACAATTACAAAATTACATTCTGAATAGTTTGGAGCAATTCGGAGTTCTACCACAATATTAATGTTCCTATGCATGGCCTCTCAAACACCTGACTGTTCCCATTTGTTGGTGATCTTGCCAATGTGCAAGCCAAGAAATGAAACCTCAGTCATTTTAACTTGCATTGCTCTCACTCTTGATAATTTAGAACATGTTTTCAAATGGTCATTTAGAGTCTGCAATTTACCCTTTGAAAACTTACCTACTGGGAAATGGTTCCTGGTGAATATATATGCACATGAGATGGATAAAAAGACAGAAAATTCCCTAAAAAATTTCCCAGAAAATTTGTTTATTACACTTATCAGTGCTATATGATGGAAAGATTCCTCCCCACACGCACATATACTTTGCAATTTCTCTTATTCTATCTTCATTAATTCTGTTAAAGTTTTTTTTTTAATTTACATAGTTGAAATTGTGTGGTTTTTTTATAATCTCCTTTCCTCCTTCTTTGGTTAAGAATTCTTCACCTAGCTATAGCTATGAAAGGTACTTCCCTCTTATTCTCTCCCAATTAAAAAAATGGTATGACCCTTTAGATTCAAAATGAAAATCCATTTTGAGCTTACTGTGGTGTATGGTATTAATGTGGTTTTCTAAACTTAGTATCTAACAAACTGCTTTCCAGTTTTCCCAAAAGTTCTTGTCAAAAAAGGATTCCTCCTAGTAATTCATATTCATGGGTTTATCAAACACAGATACAGTTTTGACAGTATTTGCTTCTTGCTTTGTTATACCATTCTATTGATGTACTTTTAATTTTTTTAACCTGAACTGAATAATTTTGTTAACTCTTTTATGACAGTCTGAAGTCTCATAATCCTAGTCTTCCTTTATCCACCTGATCAAAATGAGCTATATTAATACTAATAAACAGATAAAAGAACAGTCATTAACATGAGACTATCACAATACTCTAAAGCATTTTAACCGCTGTAAATCAATAGCAACAATGAAGGACCAAAAGAAGCTAGACAATGCCTCAGCGATTTGATCTCCTTGCCAAGCAGAAATTTATGAAAGACAAGGTCAACAGAAGTTTAGAAGACAAATTTGTATTGTGAAATTTTAGAATGGGGGACAGAACAAGAGCCTACACATGCAGGGCACTGTGCTAAACACTTCACAAATATTATCTCATTTGATTCTTGGTAACAACCCTGTGACAAGTGCTATTGTTATCCCTATTTTATAGTTGAAGAAACTGAGTCAAACAAATTAAATGACTTGCCCAAGGTTAAAAAGCCAGTTTTGAGCCACCTGGGAAAGGATGTGCAATGATGCCTTATAAAACTGCAAAAAGCAGTAGAAAGATGGGCAGCTAGGTGGTGCAGTGAATAGAGCTCTGGCCTTGGAGTCAGGAGGACCTGAGCTCAAATCCAGCCTCAGACACTTGACACTTACTAGCTGTGTGACCCTGGGCAAGTCACTTAACCCTGACTGTCTCACCAAAAAGAAAAAAAAAAGGCATTTCAAAAAGCAGTAGAAAGAAAAGCTAGTTTACAGAAGACTTTACAAAAAGATCCAACTCATCCAAGTAATCTCTAGGACATCTGAAGATGAAACTGGAAGGAGGAACACAGAGATAAAAATTCTCCTTCAAATTCTTTTCTCCATTAATGATAGTAGAGTTACCATATTTGAACTCTAACATCCCAGCTCCCAATAAGCTGCATGAGAAAGCAGAAATAGATGTAAAGAAGACAAAGAAGAGAACAGCACTGAACTAGACCAAGGAGGTTCATGCTGTAGGTATCAAGAGATGAATTTTCAAGGTATCTGAAAGAAGGGAGAACACCAAATGCTTGGGGAGAACATTTAACCCCATCTGACCCAAATGCTTACTTTCTCATCTCTATGAGAATAATCTCTCTATATACTAAGGGTGCTGTCAATGAATGTTTGAGATGGTGGAATGATAGGAAGCACAGTGAACTCCTCTCCACAAACTCCTCCAAACAGAACAAAAATTCATCAGACCAAATCCAAAAAAGTCACCTTGAGTTGTTTTTCCAGCCCAGCTCAGCATAAGGAGACAGACAGGGAAGTCTGCAGACACTGGGATGGCCAGGGACAGGCTGTGTACCAGGGCAAGGAGATATGCCAGACATACACCAGGGAACAGCAACAGGTACCAGCTGGCAGCTCTGTCATCCACAACCTAGTTTGGGGTTATAGA